GTTCCGCAAGATTAGGGATAAAAGTTGACCCTGTGAACCTCCTTATACTAGAAAGTCTTACAAAGGAGTGAGTCAGAACTTAGTCTCTGAGTTCAAAGTGAGGGGTGCTGGACAAATTCCCCTAATTTACTTAGGCAAGCCTGAAATAGATACAGTTTTCTACCAGAATTCTCTTCAAAGCTGTTTTATGCTGCGTACCTTACAGGAAGGGTATGTTTATATTTTCTCTGTATCTTATGAAAAGATTAAAGACATTGTTTTATTGTCTGCTCTCTTACTCTGGTATTTGTGAGTCTTCAGATAGTAAGTGCGTTTAGCTGAGATGTAGAAAACTTGGTTTGAAACTGAAAATGGCTTGTTGGTTTTAGGTTAATAGAATTAAATAGTGACTCCTGGCTTTGAACTGGAAAAAAAAATGAGCAGATCTTATCAACATCAAATCACATTGCTTTCTCTAAAAGGAGGCGGCTTAACCACACTAGTGTATTCTAGCAGTGAGCCTGTCACTGATTTGTGTTTAAACTGTGAAAACATAGGAGCTAAAATACTTCAATTAAAAAAAAAAAATAATCTGAATCCCTCTAGGTTCCCAATACTCTGTGTGCATTTCAGCATTGGCCGATTTGGAAGGAAAAACTTCAAAGCTCATCACTTCAAATTTCCCATTGGGAATGCTAAGGTGAATGTACATATGGTTTGAAACCTGGTTTTATGTATAGAACTTTTGATACTCTAAATAGTCTGTTTTTTATGTGTGTATCCTCCTGGATTAACATGCCTTGTGTTCTGTGGCCAGAATACAGTTTGCAGTGTGGCATCTAGTGGTCTTTTCTACTGTCACATCACACAAAGCTGGGTTTTGCCTGTCTGTAAAATGTGTACTAACGGCTCACTTTCTGCAGAAATTCATGTGAAAACATACCTGGGCAAAATGCTGAGCTGTTAGCTATAATCAAAAAGTCCTTTGAAAGTTGTAAAATTTATGTTTGGTTTTGCTTTCTGAATCTCATATAGAAGTGAGGATGAAGTGGTTAGTCCTTGGGTTTAAGTGAAAATGATTTTTCTTAGAAATCAGTACAGCTAAAAGCATGCTCATTTGTTTTAGAGATTTTTGAGAATATTTAAACATCATGTCCTCTGTCTTTTCACTTGTAAAACCTCATTGCCAATTATGAGCCAAGACATTTAAAAAAGAAAAAATAAAAATATTGCAGGCATGCTTTGGTTTTGACAGTGCAAGCAGGAAACTTCCAGCAGAAATGCCAGTGCACGGGCTTTTGAGTTGTACTAGTCTGCTGGAACCTTTCATGTGAGCTCTGTTTTTTCATAGCATCTGCTCTACCACATGCCCTGGCTAAAAAAAAATGGTGCTGGGGACAGTGATGCTGTGAGTTTTGGACTGAGTTGAGGGAGCCAGAGGATGTTTCCAGGTGCAACAGGGTCTGGTGGGGCAGCTGGAGAACATGCTGAATCGGCAGCTTTTACCTGTTAGAGTTGGAGCTGTTTGGAGTTAGAGCTGTTCCTCTGAAGGTCCAACTGTCTGAAGGAAACTTGGCAGCAGAAACGTTACTGGTGTCACCTCCAGAACAGGTGGCTGCAGCATAATGTAAACCAAGGTCCATGAATCTGGCCTCTGATGTATCTAGTAACACCTATGCAGTGCTGTGTTCTTGGAGTGAATTAGAGATACATTTGGTATAACTGGAAAATGAACTTTGCAAGTCTAAAATTAGATTCTAAAGGGGTTTTTTTTTGTGTAGCAGAGGGGAGTTTCCTATGCTGAAGGCCTCTCCTCGTTGTTAATGTTTCAGATTTTAAGTTCTTACAGTCATGTAAATAAGAAGTACCTTCACGGAAATCAATTGCGTCATGTTAGTGTAAATGAAATCGGGGCTTCAAATCATGAGTCAGGTTTCTCATAGTCTGTTGATTAGTTTTGAGTCTCTCAGCTGCAATTAGGCATTGAAATGAGCCACATTTTACGGATTTTTTGTGATGTTATTCATAGTTCAGTGTGTTCCAGAATAGATTTTTGCAATGGCAACAGCTGAGCACAACTGCTGCCGTTTCTTTTTCAAAACTAGCTATTGAAATTTAAGTCTACCAATAACTCTTCAGGATACAAGTAAAATTTTAAAATAGACTCTTTAATATCTTTGCCTGAAATCACACATTTATCAGGTGTATTTCTGCCTCTTTGGCTGTCTTGCACATTCTCATTCCCCCGCCCCAACCTGTTCCTACCAATGTCAATGGGGAAGTTACTGAACTTTATCCAAATTTAAATTTGTCCTCATTTAGGGTAATGAGGAGTCCAGGGTTTGCTGCCACACAGTGTGCTAACAAGTTGTGTATGTACAGAATGAAGCAGGAGAGGGAGAAACCAGGCTCACTAAAGTGTTTATGTTCAGTTCTAAGTGAACTGTACTGTTTGATCATTATTGAGTAGTGTTGAAAGCGGAGCTAAAAGCTGAACATCGAATATCATCAGATGGTGTGATTTTTGTTGACTAAATGTGTCTCTAAATTTCAGTACATTGCTATTTTCGTGGTTGACAGTTCTTTAGATGTAAGTGCAATGACTTGGTAAGTACTAAGAGTGCATCTTCTGCTGAATATTGCCCAGCCTGCTGCCTGGAGAACATGTGTTTGACAGCCAGAAGTTATCAGACAAACTCATGCATTGTGTTACCTTTGTAATTCTTAAAGGAATCTTTTCCCTGTGAAACTAAGGAAAAGCTGGTAAGAGAGTTGTGATGCAAGGTCAAAAAATCAATTCAAGAATGTATAGATTTGATCTGTGGGCACTGGCACCCTATGAATTGGGTCATAATTAAAGTTGCATGTGGCCGTATACAGGTATTGCAGTTTATTCGTGGAAAAAGACAAAAAAATCCCCAGTGAATGAACCGTGCCTGAGTATCTCCAACAAATTCACCTGGAAGAAAAATTCCCTCGTGTCATTACGTCTAATAAAGCACTGAATTTTAAGCACAGGAGAGAGCAGGACACAGGGAACAGCAACCCTGACGGAGCAGGCACTGGTGTGCCCATCTCGGGGTACTGTCTCTGCAGGAGTAGCCCAAATGCTAATATTTTCCTCCTGGCTTCTACAGATGGGTGTGTGGCAGCCTTGAAGGCTGGGTTTAGCAGTGTAGGAATGGAGAGCCGATGGATGGCTGGGCTCTGTGGGGCTTCTTGGAGGCACCAGCACAGGAACATGCACCGTGGGTATGATCTCTGGTCTCCCACCACATTCTCCTATTTAGTACAGGCTCCCATCTCCAAATTAATGAAGTTAGGTCTTGAAGGTTATTTGGTTGTGCTAGCAATACTAATTCTGAACATTTAAAGTCAAAACCTTTGGGTTTTTTTACCTGCTTCTTAAAGAAAACTGAAACCTGGTGGTGTCTGTTCTGCTTCAGTGTAAACGTACTGCCCTGAAATACCCGGTGGTGATGGATATGGCTGAAAAATCTTTTGGAGCTCACGTCTGAGCAGTCTTCTACTGACTCTGACACCACGTATGTTGCTTTTGCTGTGCCTGTCTGCCTGCCTCCCCTCTCCTGGCCGTGCCACCTGGGCACTGCTGCTGGCCTGGATTTGCCCCTTGCTCTTTCTGGTGTGTGATGCTCGCACAGAAATGCCAGTTGTGGTCCAAATATCGTTGTGCCTCTCGCACATCTGCTTGGAAAGGCCACGTGCAGCTGTTGAGCCGTTCCCTCAGCAGTGTAGCAAACTCTTTTTTTTTATTATTTTTCTTTTATTTTTTTTTTAATCCACAGTGAGAGCCAAGAAATCTCCCCAGGCTAACGCAGCTTTTGGCCCCGGTGCTGGAGGCGAGAGTCCAGTGGTGCTCAGGGCCAAATCACTTCAGCTGGAAGGTATTGTGCTGCTGTTTATTTTGGAAGCCCAGACGCAATTTATTCCTGCATTTAGAGCATTCTGGTGTCACCCATTCCCAGGAATGAAATGCTGGCCTTGTGCGTGTCCGTGGAAAACCTCCATACGTTTCAGCGGGGCGGGGAGCCCATCCAAGCTCCCTCTGCAAACAGCGCCCGTTATAAATGCATCGCTGTGTGCTCAGGGTGGGATCTGGCTTAGGTGGAAATAAAACAAGTGGTGACTTGTCTGCTAGCGGTGATTTCTGTGACTTTTTAGGTATCGGTGCTATTTCTAGTCATTTTCTGTCACTTTCTAGGTACTGGTGCTATTTCCAGTGGGATTCAAGCACTCCCGTTGCCTCCCGCTACAGTTGCTCTGTGTTCCCTGAGGTAATTGTCTGTCGAGGGCACACAATTTTGTCAGAATTGTGCAAATTTCTCAAACTGGCCATGTGTTGAATTTTTGATTTAAATATTTTGGTAAAAAGTTATTTCTGAAAGTGGAAACACCTTTGTTAACATCGCAGATGTGCTTTCCCTGTTGAGAAGTAATTCTTCCGTGCCTTGGAGAAGAGCAAAGGAGGAGAAACTCGGCGTGTCCGTTTTGGTGAGAAACTGCACAAATTGGTGAAGGCGACAGTCTCGGGGAAGTGTTTTGGCTTCTTCCACCTGCTCGGCGAAGACTTTCACGGTGCCTGGTGACCAAATGCTCGGTGGGGAGAGGGGCCTGGTGGTGTCCAGAGGAGGAGAGGGCTGGAGAGGTGGAGACTTGAGCCTGGGAAGAGGAGGGAGAGATGAGATGGAGGTGGACGAACTGGAATAACGGTGCTGTGGGGAAGGGGATGGAAGGGGAGAAGGCTGGAAGAGGGGGGCTGAGGGTGGGAAGGGGAGGGAGACGGTGCAGACCCAGCGTGTGGAGGCCCGTGTCCGTCAGGGCAGCGGGGAAATGCTGCTCTTTCCCCTCTCCTCCGCCGGGCCCGGCCTCCCCCAGCCCCTTCCCCGCGGGGCCCCGGGCCGCCCCGGCCTGGAGGGCGCTGAGGGCCCGGCGGCGGGCGGGCAGCAGCGGGCGCTGCCTCCCCCTC